AAAGAAAAATAAAAGTTATGACAAAAAAATAAAAATTACTTTAACAAAAAATATTTTTGTCAAAAAATAAAAAGTTATCTTAACAAAAAATAAAAGTTATTTTGACAAAAAAAAATTACATTGACAAAAAAATAAACGTTATGACAAAAAATTAAAAGTTACATTCACAAAAAAATAAAAGTTATAATAAAAAAGTAAAAGTTATCTTGAAAAAAAAATAAAAGTTACCTTGACAAAAAAATTAAAAGTTGCCTGGGCAGCATCATCTTCTGATTTTTCTTGTAAAAAAAATAAAAAAAAGGTAATACAACAAGTATTTATTGTCAAAAATAAATAAAAAGTAATACAACAATTATCTTGCTTTTCAAGCACGCATTTGAGTTGCGTTTATTCTAGAAACCTTAAAAATTTTGATTTTTGAAACTTAAAAAATTAGATTTTTTAAAATTGTTACTCATTCTAATAATTTCTATATTGATAACCAAATTTTATATTTTATTTATTATTTTTTTTGCATTATAAATTATGCAACTTACTATTTTTTCTTACAGTTGTCAATAATATATTTTAAATTGGATGTCATTATAATATATTTTGGATTTGTTATTATTTGTATAGTAAAATAATTATAAAATGTAAATCAACAATTTCAATTTAAGTATATAAGATTATAGTTAGTTAGGTTGTAATAATTTTATATTAATGTTAGTTAGGTTGTAATAATTTTGTATTAATGTTTGTTAGGTTGTAATAATTTGGATTTTTTTAGTGGATTAGAGTTTTCCCTCAATTCCAGATTTTGGCAGCCATTTTTTTTATCGATTGAATCCATTGTTTATTGTAGTCCATGTATGATTATATAGTTCATCCATGATAATTCTATGATTTTTCTTTTGTGTAATGTGAATTTAATTGTTAACATAAGTTCATGTAGTGAAAGATCATCTCAATATTAACATATTGATGAAAAGAATAAAAGTTAATAGTGTGGTACTCCCATTTCTTATTGGATTCCTGAAAAAGAACATTTATTATGAATTTTAATAATTTTTTTAGATTTTCTTTTTTTTTAAGTTTAATCCGACAGACTCCCGATCCAGATCACCGATTCACCGATCGGGATGGGTTTTTGGGGTGCCCGATCTAGGGTACTGATCCGTTTTTTAAACCACCGATTAAAACTAAGTTAAATTGCATAACACCCCCAAATATAACTATCCATTCAGCTTACCCCCCACTTAAGCTTTCCTAACTACTTTTTATCAAAAACTATGTCTTCTAGCAAATACCCCAATACAAAAAGCGAACTTTTTTTTTATGAAGATACCCTTCCCGTATTTTAAAAAGTCATTTTCGAGTTTAATAAAACGAAATTACCGGATCGAATTTGTTTAAGGCCGGAACGCCCCTCCAACAGAAAAAGTCCTCGACCCCCAATAAACGAACACCAGACTAGCCTCCCTAACAGCCGGACTGCCCTCAGAACGTCGAACCGGGGCAGTTCCAGTGAGATGAAATGCCAGAGTGCCCCATGAAAATATCGGATTGCCCTACCTAATCGCCAGACTGGCATCCTAACTGCTGAACTGCCCATCAGAATGCCGGACCGGGGCAGTTCCAGTGAGATGAAAATGCCGGAGTGTCCCATGAAAATGTCGGATTGCCCTTCCTAATTGTCGGATCGCAGTATATGAACGCTGGATTGGTAACAACAGGTAAATTGTGAAGAGAGAGAGCGCGAGAGTAGAAATCGGTGGGTAAATCGTGAAGAGAGAGAGAGCGCAAGTGAAGAGAGATCGAGACTAGAAATAGGTTCGTGGGTAAGGGAGGGGTAGTATTGTCTTAGATTAATTTTTTTTAGGTGAGGGGTATTTGTTAGGAAATATGGGTTTTAAAAAAAACTTGTGAAAAGTTTATCTGGGGGTAAGTTGAATGAATAGTTGATTTTGAGGGGATTTATGTAATTTTCCCTTAAAACTATGGGCAAAAAAGAATACAATATTTTTAAAAGTAGCAGTAATAACACAATGAGACCCTCTCACACTCATGTTAGTAGGACCCTAAAAGACAACATTAAATTTTGACACACATCTCTAGAAAATTTATCACATGGGTGTGGGACTTAGGTGAAGGTTTTTTAGAATTTTGTGTCAAAATTTAAGTTATCACATAAATGTGAGACTTGAGTGAACGGTTTTTCTAAAAGTTTGTATCAAAATTTAATGATAATCCTTTGAAATCCTACTCATATGGATGTGGGAAGGTATCCAAGGATCATCTAAAAGTAAAGATATATAATACATTCACTCTTCGCCCGTTATTACATCCATTAAAATAAAAATAAAAAACACACGGTACATCCATCCTTCAAAAAGCAAAGCCTTTTACGGAGGAAAGAATAGTTCGTCTCCTGTATTTCCTTCCTACCCAGATCCTTCTGACCCTCCCAACCCTGCCTGGAATGCCACTCCGGTGGACGGCAACCACGTTGTTCCAGAAATAAAGCTTCCCACCGTGAACTTTTCCGCCTCCTCCGACGCAAGCTCGTGGACTCCAGGCCACCGGACCCTCCCTGCAGTCCCAGACCCGGGCCCTTGATTCCTGTACTCCCCAAAGTAAAGCGTCTTCAGCGCAAAGCTTCCCTCCCACTGCTGCCACCCTTTGGGATTGATTATCCCATCAATGCTGCTCTCCATCACCACTGACCTTGAATACTTCTTCCATGGCCGACCCAAGTAAGAACGAATGGAATTCCTGACTGGAAATAGGTCAGAGGCAGCAGCAATCCGACAGTTATGTACAGAAAACCCGGTATTCTGGCAAGGATCATTGCGACCATTTGCCAGAATGACATTTTCCTTTGTAGCAGGGAGGCGGAGGTAAAGGTTGCAGCTTTGGAATACGGCAGCTGCATTGCCAAAGATGAAGTCAATGGTGCCATATACATCACATTCTCGGTAGAACTGGCGGAGGGCCATGGCATAGAGGGTGTCTTGGTAACCGATGAGGTTGCAACGGTAGAAGACTGAGTGGTCAGAGAGGACGCGGACCGCGAGGGCCTGACCTGCGCTTGGACCTGCTGAGTTCTGGAAGCCTATGTCACGGGCGATGAAGCCATCACCGATCACCGCTGAGTAGGAGCAATGGAGGAAATTAGTGTACCATCCAATGTGATTAGATTCACTTTGGAAGATTTGGTAAAATAAATGTGCTTCGGTCAATTCGGGAAAGAGCTTTGATATTTTTTAATTTAATATAAATAAATTTTATATTTAAATATAAAAATAATAATAAAATTAAGAATAAAAACTTAAAAAATTTTAAAGTAAAGAAAATAATTCTTTTATATAGATATATTTTGTTCGGCCAAATTGGCCCCAAGCAAACCGAAGCTGACTGAAGCGGCAGCACTAGGCTTCCCTTCACTTTGGTCTAGGCCTAAAATCTAAAGACTTCGACCGAAGCTAATCATACCATCCACATTTTACAAAGGATGTGGTTTATATTTGGTGGAGGCTCTAAACAATCAAAATAGAGCTCACGTTGAAGCAGTACCAAATATATTGTTTTAATATTAGAAATATTTATAATTGCCTGAGAATTTATTTTTATAATTAATAATAAAATTTAAAGTTAAAAAATAGTTTAGATCGAGCAGATCGATGAACACTTAAAAATCTTCAAAATTGACTGTCTAGATAATACATTACAATATGCATTATTTTTAACACTAGAAAATTTTTTTTTGTCTTATGTCCATGATGTTGAGATGATCGAATTGAGAGTTTTCAGCATCACAACTATCTTTTTTAATAAATTTTTCATGTGTGTTTTAATTTGATTGTTTAGAGCCTCGCACTTATATAAACTCTTACCTTTTCCAAATTATGTGTATAGTTCATATAGGAATATAGGCCCAGTATTGCGTCCTCCCCGTCCATCCTCTAAATTGGAGAGAGGATGCCTTGACTTTTAATTGTGCTTATACACCACAGGTGTATGGTTTCATTTTCCTGTAGGCCACATATCTTTCTTTATTTTGTGTTTGTGAAAATGAATGATACCAAAAATTTAAAAGACTAATTATGAAACAAGGGTATGTTTAGATGACAATTGATTTATGATTGTTTAGATAACTTTGATCTTATGTTTGGTGCATATATGTGATTAATTTTAATATTATATTCAATTATTGAACCTTTCTAAAGAAAAAACATGTGATTTGAAGCAAATTACTTAGAATAAAGTGCATGTCTTTTCAAGAAGATAAACTAATATACAAAATTGCTTAAAGTTTTTTTGGGTAATTAATTGTTTATAATTTTATCTCAAATAAATTTGGATATTGCCAAACAACAAATAATTCACTATTAGAGTTAGTTTTATTGATATAGTGAATTATCGATGATCATATAAACAAGAAATTTTTTACTTCTGGGAGAAGAAATTTACATGCACTGTTAATTAGATGTTAAATCAATTTGTGTTTTTTTTTTTTTGGGTAAGTTGAAATCAATTTGTTAGGATGTGCTATCCATAAAACTCAAAGTTTAATTTTTTTTTTTTTGAGTTTTGCAACACACCCCCAGCTCCTCTGATTTCATATTGGGATTAATGAGACCATTTACCTTTGGTGCAAAGAGGTCACATTTACTTACAACCCTCTGATATAAAATCTGATGGACTAGGTGTTTCATAAAGTTTGAGAAAATTTCTTTTGAACTTTGATCTTGTTCAATAGAATAAATGTAGCCAACCAATTTCACATTCAATAGTCCAGATTATATGTGACCACCTTATAAACTAAATAGTCTCATTGTTTACTTTTTCTTTTCATATTTGACCTCAAGGATTAATAGTGGACTTCTTGTACTAGAAAGGAACACTCACATATATGGTATGCAATCTCAAATTAAAATAAAAGAAGTATATAAAGAGGTCATTTACTTTAGTACAAAGAGGTCATAGTCACACTTATCCTTCACATTCTAAATCAGGTGGTTTTAAGTGTGTCATTGATTGGACTCAAAGTTCAAAACAAATTTCTTAAATTTTGAGATACGCCCCAAGCTATCCATGTGTGATATTTTTTTTAACATTTCATCCAAAATTAATATCTAATGGATATGAGTGATTATGACTTTTTTGTCATAATAATATACAGGTGAGGTTTGTATAAGGTACCAACCTTTAACAATCACGGTAATGTGCACCTCAAAATCACATTAAAAGATGTAATTTCGGTGCCAAAACTCTTATCCTAACCTAAAAGTCTATATTTCACCCTTATAATGAAATTGAAAGCTCCAAAATAGTGCAAATCTAACAGATCTATGAGCACTAAAAAATCTTGAAAATGGATGGTCTAGATAATGTGTTTCAAGATGTACTATTTTTATGATTTAAAATTCATTTTTTTCTTATATCCATATACGTCGAGGTCAAGATGATCGAATGGAAAATTTTCAAGTGATGAAATAACCTGTTTTAATGGGCATTTAAGTGCACCTTATCTCTACAGTATAAGATTGACAACTTATATAAACTCTTTCCTAGTATATAGTATATCGTCTCATAGTATATAATCCCATTGAAATATTTCAAAAACTTCACATATCTATTGGGGATTTAGAGTAAATAATCAATTAAAAGATGACGATCAAACTAAATACCCAGCTAGCAATCACACTCATTAATCATACTAAATACCCACGAAACAATCAATAATTAACAAGACCTCATTTATTTCAAAGTCTAACTAAATATCCAGCAAGCATAAAATATAAATTTTTCACTTAAAAACTTTTTTTCAAAAAATTTCAAATTCAAATGAACTCCTACCAAAAGTTGCCGACTCGGGCATGGTGGACCCTCCACCGACGCTCCTGCTCCCCGTTACAATGGTCGCCGCCTTCCCATCACCAATAAGCGTTATCCCGTCCTTCGCCGTTACGATCCGTTCCTTGTAAATCCCCGCCTTAACATGAATCACATAACGACGGTCGCCGGGCGCCTTGTCTAAGGCCTCCGACACCGTCAAAAAGTTCCCCGTTCCGTCCTGTGCGACAACGGCGTCTGCCGCTATCTCCGGCGCCTGGAGCAAACGCCGTTCAGTCTCCGTCAACCAAGAGGGAAAATCGGCGTCAACTAACAGTCTCCGTCCCTTTTCCCGTCGTTTCTTGGGCAGTCGGTTGGCTACAGCGAGGGCGTTGCTCGCAAGGCTTGAGACGTGAGAGACAGATGTGGGGTTGTGTACGGCGGAGGGGTCGTGTATGGAATTGGAGATGTGTATGTTGAGGGCGTCATTGCATCCATCAAGGAAGGAGAGGACGGCACTGAGCCAGGTTTGGATGTCGAGGGCGTTCGGGTGCGTGGTGGCGGCGTTGAGGGCGGAGAGGGACTGGTGGAGGCGTTTCAGGGATAGGTGGAGGAGCTCCACGCAGTAGTCTTCTCGGACGTGTTAAAAAATAAAGAAGGGAAAAATTACTTCCGTATTGTTTTGTTTGACGATTATCAGGTGATCATTCAAAAATATGCAATATTTATACCGAGCTTCTTGTCTTCCGATTTTTCATTTTTTTCAAGTTTGTTTATGATACCAGGTGTTTTTTTGGATAAATATTTAATTTATTATTTTGATTTTGTGACCATTTTAAACTTTTTAAAATTGACGTCTAACATTGGATCGTTTTAAATCTTCAAAAAATGAATGTGTGAATGCGGTTCGATATTTTTAACACCAGACGGTCTTAAACCTTCAAAATTAAATAGGAAATTGATGTTACTAACCAGTTAGATTATTCAAAAATCAAACAGGTAACAAATTTATCAAAAATAAATAAAAATTTCGAGGGGCCCGTCCTTCTAAATAATAACGGTTTATTTTGGGCCTTTTTTGTTAGAAAGGATTAAAGAAATGATGCGGACAAAAATTTTGCAAAAAAAATATATAAAAGGTGAGAGAGAGAGATCATCCAATGTCATAGGATATATACCAATTGAAAATCGTAAGTGTGGTCAGGATCCCCAATTAGTTGAGAAAAAGCTTCGATGATGATGATGTGTGGTTTGGACCATTTATTCTAATCGATCGGACTATTGATTTGTTTTTTGACTAGTTTGGTCTAAAGTAAAAATTTAATTTAAGCGAAAAATTAGTAAAAAAATTATATTCTACTTGTTTAAATATTCAATTTTCACTAATCAAGCGAGTTAAACAAAATTCAAAATTTTAAAATATTTTATATTTATTTTAAAGTAATATTTATTTTATAAAAAATTAAAATCTGATCCAAATAGTTCGACAAACGATTAAAATTGGTTGTGATATGACTAGATCTGATCCTCGTTACCACGAAACAAATAAATGGATTTGCCAGAGGGAGCATACAATTTATTGACCTATGAGAGAACCAAGGAGCATTCGACTTTTAATGAGAAACAAATACAAGAAAAATTGAGATACAATATGGTGCTTAATATGAGAGAGAGAGAGAGAGAGAGAGAGAGAGAGAGAGAGAGACTGTTTGTGTACTCTTGACAATTAAGGTTTGAGACCTGATGTGGTTGAAAGAAAGGGAACATATAAATTCTTGACTAATAGCACATTTTAGACTCCTAATAAAATGTTTTTTGTGGGCGAGCATATGTTCGTGTTCTTGACAAGTTCGTTATACTCTACTCGTCTTCAATAAAGATATTCACTACTGCACAATGATAAAATTTAAAAGCCCATAACTGGTTCAAGGTTAGGTGATCAAGATAATAAAGTGTTACAATGTAACATTTTGAGTTCCATTTTTATCACAAGCTCATTCCCCGTTAAACTATGTAAAAAAAGAAAAAAGTCGAAAAGGAAGTGTGTACAAATTAAAATAGATTGACAAAGTAATTAGCGACCTGTTTCAAACCAAAATGCTATTTAATTTTCATTGTACTATCTAAAGGGTATGGTTTTTGTAAGGTTGCAACATTTAAACAATCCAATTAAGGCACACCTCTAAATTTTATCATAACATGTAATTTTGGTATAAAAAATTCTTAATATTATTTGAAAATCTATTTTTATCTCTAATTATAAAATTTTAAAATCCAAAAATGGTTAAAATCAATTAGATCTATGAACATATAAAAATCTTGAAAGTGGACAGTCTAGATAATGTGTTACAAGATGCACTATTTATGAGACTCAAAATCCTTTTTTTTTTTTTCATGTTCATACATCTTAATATCGAGATACTCAATTGGAGGATTTTTCAACATTAAAACAATCTTTTTCGATAGAGTTTTGAGGTGCATATTTAATTATACATTTTAAAGTTGCAACCTTATATAAACATTTTCCATATCTAAATACGCTAACTTTTGTTGATAAAGGAATATTTAGCTTTGGTAAACTTTTGGTGGTCACCTAATCGGCTCTTGGGCAAAATATAGGGTTACTAGGAGTTTTCTTTGGTCTAGAAGTACCAATATACCTGTGATTAGGGGCTCTAGATACTCTAAATCAAATGAATTTCATAGATTTTTTTGGATCTTCAGGTTGGGATCTAGGGTTTTGAGGGCAATATCATCTTTTTTAGAGTGGTTCCTAGTACATATTGCAAAAATTTAGGCTTATTCAAATAAATTAGGTAATATTTAATGAGGAAAAGTTTAAATAAGGCTAGCAATTTTATTTATAGAAGTAAGGTTACACCAGTCTACACCATCTATTTTATTTAGATGGTGTAAACTTGATAATACCTTGAAAGACGTATCATTTTTTTTTTTTGTGTTAAAAGACTTATCAAACTATATTGTCCAATTAAAATAGACAGTGTAAAACATTACAAACTTACTTTTACAAATAAGATTGCCACCTAATATAAATGACACCCAATAAATAATACATATGCTATATTAAATTTTATATAATACATAAAACATACAAATGTTAAGTGATTCATATAAAACTTCTCTTGACCCCCATCCATTCTCATCAAAGGTAATGTATACCATTATTTTTAAGTTGAAAAATACCGAATGAAAAAGAAGGGAGATGAAATGATCTGGAATTCAGAAAAAGTTTGGGCAGTTCCAGTTATTGTAAAAAATGTCTTCATAAACTTCATTCGCTAGAACTACATTGAAAAGCCATAATCGAACGTAAATGTCTAAAAGACTTTGTTGTCCCAGTAAACTTTTGCTAATAGGCTTTTCTTCAAGGAAAATGCTGGGATTAGCCCACTAGCTTATATGAATATATGAGCTCAACAGTCTAGATTGAATTTGGGCTGATCTGATGGCTATGATTTCAATTTTAATTTTAATTTTTTTTCTACAAATATACATAAATTAAAATTTTAGGCTTAAATTCTTCTAATCAAGGAGCACCTAATAAAAATATTTAAAAAATAATTCGAAAAAAATAAATTGACCAAAATACCCTCAAAATAATTTAGGGGTATTTTGATCAATTTATTTATTGTAAATTATTTTTTTGATATTTTTATTAGATTCTCCTATTTTTAAAAAATACATGCCTAAAATTTCAATTTATTTGAATTTTGTTAAAAAAATTAAAATTAAAATACGAAATGAGGTCGTGACGTGCAGATTCAATCTGGGCCATTGGGCTCATATGTTCATATGAGCTAGTGGGCTAATCCCAACATTTTTCTTCAAATTAATGGAACTAAATGAGATAGAGGCAGTTATTGATCGGCCTAAATTCAATCTAGGCCGTTGGGCTCATATGTTCATATGAGCTAATGGGCTAATCCCAACATTTTCCTTCAAATTAATGGAACTAAATGAGATAGAGGCTATTATTGTAAGAGGTAGTTAATTTATCCAGGCTTTTATCTTTGGAAATCTATAAAATAAGATCACTTGCGTCTATACATAAAAGTCACAATTATTTTTAGCCATTAGATATAAATTTGGTTGGTTGAAAGTGTACGGGTGATCAATTTCAAAGCCCAAGAAAATATTCTAGATTTCTGTAAGATACCTTTTTGCCCACTTGATTTACATTAGTTGGCTATGAGTATTATGACCTTCTTGTAGCAAAAGTAAATGGTCTTATAGTAAAGGAAGAAGTTTGTATAAGGGCGAGACCCTAAACAATCAAATTAATATACGCATTAAAAATTCAGAAAAAGAGGTTGTTTCGATGTTGCAAAACCCTCAATTCAATCCTCTCAACCTCAAGATTTATGTACATGAGAAAAAATAGATTTCAAGTCTTGGAAATAGTGCATCTTGTAATGGATTATATTATAGATTTGCTTGATATACACTATTTTTTAATGTCAAAATTTTATAATTAGAAATAAAAATAAATTTTCAGGTCATTGTAAAGATTTTTAATACTAAAACATGTTTTAGTACTATTTGAAGTTGCACCTTATTTTAATTGTTTAGGGCGTCAACCTTATACAAACCGTGCCCTAGTAAATGATATCAGTAGGGACAACACGGCAGGAAGAGAACATTCGTCACGCGTTAATGCATAGACCATCAGTATTGCAACACGAATTTTTGGGAAAATTAATAGATGACAAATTTATCATAAGAGAATTATTTATAAATTTATCTTTTGAAACTATTCCAACTCATGACGATGTGTTATTTTATGGGCATTTTAAAATTAAATTAAAAGACATAAGTAAAGTGTTAAATTGTCAATCTCTCAAGATTAATTTGAAAAAAAGTCCTTGATAAAAATGTGGCCGGCCTAGCATTAACTCTTTATCAGTTGATGAGAATTGGAAAAAGTGTAACAAGATTTAATGAAAAATATCTAACTTCAACTACAGCTCACTTAAAAGAAGGATTGTCTTTTTTTTTTCCTTCTTTTTTTTTGTATTCTATTATCCATTACACTTGAGGGAGAAGGGGTCTAAATCCAATTTCTCGCAGGAGCCCTGTATTATGCGAGAGAGGGAGAGAGGTGGTACATTGGCCTAAGATGCAACAAGATATTTTGGGTTTAACTAGCTCGAGATCGAGAGAAAGAGAACGAATAAGCTAGCTTTTGTGTCCAACTCTCCTCTCCCCCCAATTATTCACTCCAAGATTCATGTGACACATCCATCAAAATGTAGACATGTACAAATGATAAAAAATATATCATAATAAACAATAATAATAATAATAAAATTAAAAAAATAAAATAAAAAAATAGGACGGAAGGACTCAAACTTCACCTGTAGTCTTATCATGGCTTTTAGGGTTCTCTAGCTTCCCTGCCTGAGAGCTCTGAGACATGATAGAAGAGAGCTTCCTGATCTCATGCACTGTACTCTTCACAAGTTCCCTCAAAAACCCATTTCTAAACTGCAATACACCACGTCCAGACGTCAATGTCTGTATGCATAGTCCAGGGTAACGAGTAAAGTTACACGTTTGAGCCATGTTCAAACCCAAATCTTTGTCCTCAAACAAGCTTGTAACATTTTGGCTAAGGGAGACAGACCCATGCCCTAATATACACACCAACATGCACACAAAAACCCTAACAAAACAAGCCCTCATTATTTCTCTTTCTCTTCTCTATCTCTTTATCTTGAGATTGCCCAGACTTGAGGTGCACAAACACCGTGGCCCTTGCATTAGATGAAGGAATGAGTCTTAATTTATAGGCACCAAACTCAGAGAAAAAAAGATGGTCTTAAAAGAAAGGTTCAAAATTGGTTGATGTCACAGGTTCAAAATTGGTTGATGTCAACTTCACTATGGTCCATAGTTACTAGTGGTGTTACTTTTCAGTGGTATAGATGTTTACGATAGGGATGAAGTTTTTGTAAGGCTTAGGCTTTATGAAAACAAAAGAAAGGCTCACTGTAAATCTTCGTCCAGAGAGCACTTTAAGCAACGGAAATCTCCATGATGGCTCGAAAATCAATTTTGAACACTAATAGTAAAATATGAAACTAAAAAAAAGTGTAGATCTTGCGGATCTATGAGCACTTAAATGGATGGTTTAGATAATTTATTATGATATACACTATTTTTAGAGCTTGAAATCTTAATTTTTTTTACAACCATAATATTCAAACCGAGATGATCAATGTAAAGGTTTTCCAATGCTTAAATTGCAATTTTCAATGAGATATGAGGTGGGGTTTTACTTACTTTGATAAGGCCGCAGTCCTATCAAACCATTTTCATTAAGGACAATGACCACGTTACGATGTAAAGTTTTGTGTACTTCCTCTTCCTCTTCTTCACTTGCTTGTGGTAGGTAAGCTTATTGTGACTTGTGGATACAATGTATGTACTTGACTCGGTACCTCTACATTTGGATACTTGACTCAGTGGCTCTACATTTGGAATGTATAGCATTAGTCAACGGGTGCGGTTTCCAGTGGTGGCTTTACTGAAGAAAGCAAGGCCGCACCTCGTTTCAGCACGAGAAACTATTATGAGGGCCTGAAAATCTGTTTCCACCTCTAATTATAAAATTTTTTTAAGATCACCGGATCTATAAATAATTGAAAACTGATGGTTTAGATAATGTGTTACAAGTTACACTATCTATAGCTCTTGAACTGTTTTTATTTCTGTTAGATCCATAATTGTCATGGTCACGATGACTAAATTGACAGTTTTATGGTGCCAAAACAAATTTTTTCAAGTTGATAAGGTAGGACCGTACTATTTTCATAAAGTAGCGGCCTCATATGAGCTTTTTTTGAAGTTATGTTGAAATGTGTGTGAGAGAGAGAGGGGGGTAGCTTTGATCTCACACTTTTTGCTCTTGTGGAGAAATAGATGTGAACCTTTTATTACTTATAGCTATGTTAAAAAGGTGACTATCACTTGCACATAATATAGGGTTTTGTTAAGGTATTCTTAAATATAGAGTATTTATTTAATGTGCTCAATATTTTGGACAATTACCTTTGTCATGTAATACAAATTTTTTTTACTACAGTGTTTTTCATAATTAAGGAGCAGTTGAATAGGCATTTATATAAGAGATTGATACATTTTTTTTGTAGTAAAATAATTAATACTCTATATGAGTGATGTCACACTTCTTATGGATAAACTTTATCTGTGATAAATTACCTTAAATAACCCTAGACAAAAAGTTACTAAATTGTAAGACAAGCGTATCAAATATACAAAATTATTGAGTACATTCGGAGAAGTCCCAGTTTGGATAAAGCCCTTATCCCCAGTGAAAAAGAGAGTTCAAGGAGGCACATAATATGTTCAGTCAGCTCCAAGGGGTGGGCTCTTACATGGAAATGATGCTCGAGGTGACCCAAGTCTTCTAATGTGGTACTTAAAATTGGCTTCCACATTGACCTTGATGGTTACAAGGGAAAATGGACTCACTGTTGAAGAGGACAGGTCATTAACCTAAAAAGTTGGGTAAAAGCAAGAGGCCCGTTTATTATTTATTGTGTTTCTCTTTGAGAATTGGACTACTCAATACACAGCATCATCTCACATTACTCTCATCCTAAGCCACACACGTCAGTTGAACCCTTTGGGGTTTTAATGACCCCATTCACCAAATCTCATATATCTTTCTTTAAGGGACTTACAAGTTTCTTTGAGAAGCTTGTACAATTTTAAAATTTAGTATATTTTATGCGAATGATGCTTCCATTGTTATTTTTTATTTTTTTTAATAGTTTAGTGGGGAAAGTGTCCCTTACCGAGAGTAGAAATGGAACTTAAGATGTCATATTATAACACTCACCACTCTGAACACTTATGCCTTGACCCCATTCATATGTCAGATTTAATGTTATTCAAAATCACCCATATAAGAAAATCCCATATTATGTAGGATTGAGATTGATATTGATATGTTTCCGAAAGGAAAAAAAAATCCGAAAAAGATTAAGACTAATGGATATATCTTTTGGTTTTTGAGATAAATATAACATCTATAGGAAGTTTTCTATTTTGGGTGGATTCCTAGTCTTATATATATGAGATAAAAGATGAGAGAATATGTGTGTCATATTTGGGTCACCATATGGGAAAGGTTGCTTCCTCTAGAGAGAGAGAGGGGGGCAAGGCCTCCTATGTATGAGGGAGCTTCCTAAAGAGAGAAATAAATATTGTAATAGTGCCTCTTGTAGACTCTTTAAGATTGAGAGGCAAAAAATATTGTGATGGTACCTCTTATAGATTCCTGAAGATTGAGAGGTTGATTTCTTGTAGAGAAGATGTTCCCATGATGATTTACGGCAGTTTCTCCTTTTAGTTAGATAAAACTCCGATGCTCTCAAGGTTCTCTTCATAGACAGTAGTCTAGTTATGGGTTCTCTTCCTAGACAATGGTCTAGTTGAAACAGAGATAAGAGATCGGCAGTAGTGCCGTTTGGCAGAGCAAATCTAAAAGGGTTTGCTCAACTGGATTTTGTCAAGGGTTAGAAAGGTAATTTTATATTCCAAAATCTATAATGTAAAAATCAGTCTAAAATGGTTTGCTCGACTGGGTAACTTTATATTTCAACTGGTGTGGTTTGCAATCAATTTAATGAGAGCATTTAGGAATTAGAATCGTATGTTAAATTTTAGGAAAAATTTACTTGCATATATGCGTTTGGATAAGCTTCAAGTTAACAGTATTTGTGCCCTAACCATTCAATCAAATGCTTGTTTTCTAGGGAAACGGTTCAATAGTTTCAGCTCTAGTGGTGAAGCTTTTGAGAGTAAATACATTAATTGTTGGAACATAAGTCATTTTAGGCTTTTAACTGCAGGGTCATTTTATTGGTGAATATCATTACATTCATGGAGGTGCACTTTTCTTTTTTGTTCTCAATCCCATCTTCTATGTCATCTGGTGATTATTCTCTTGATTCTCTTGAGCTGCTTAGTTTGTCCACTGCATAACTCAGCACTCTTTATGTTTGTTAGTGTTGTTTAAACTAAAAGGCAAACATAAATATGTGAAACATGCCAAACTGAAGAAGAAATAACCTAATAAATCACAAAGTTCAGCTAACATACTTTAATGCAATTGAAATTCTTCTTAAAACTCAAAATTCTATCTCAAATACGTCCAGGGAATACATTGTGATTCATTTAACACACATACAATGGGCCGCATATATCGCCAATCGGAAATTGTTAATAATGGACAGCGGAATGAATCCCTCCTTAAATAGCGTCTAGAACATTTTCTTTGGTAGCCATTCATTGTTAAAAACAGAGGTGAGATGACATGGAATGTAGTGATGGTGTGATGCATGTAATCCAGTGGACAGTACTACTGATTGTTTTAGTACAATGTATGGAATTTTGGATGAAGTCGCAGCCGAACAGTCTCCATTATGTAAAAGTACCTACATGACTTTGATTTGCAAACTTATTGTAGCACATTTGGAGCATGAGCTCATATTTTGTGTGTGTGTATGTTGACTTTGATTTGCAAACTTATTGTAGCACATTTGGAGCATGAGCTCATATCTTGTGTGTATGTGAGAGAGAGATGGTTTCGATGTAATTATTTTAAAGGGAATGTACACTATAAGACTATTTATCTTTGTCACAAGGACTTCACAATTACTTCTAGTCATTAGATGTCAAATTGGATGGCTTGGAGTGTGTCATGAAGTTCAAATTTTTTTCTTTTTTGAGCTTTGAATTTAGTCAATGACACTCTTACAAGTTACAACCATTCGATTTTAAATTTTATGGACAAGAGAAATTGTGCGCTCCTTGTACCAAAAGTAAATGGTCTCTTTGTATATCTTTCCTATTCAAAATACATTTGAAATGTGTACAGAACTCACCTCAGGTAGGGAACTGACCCCCTGACTGAGGCAAGTTACTTAGCAGAGTCTTCAGAACTCGTCGAGTCATGCACAGGCTAAAAACCTCTAAATATATTGAAAAAAATGAGGAAACATTAAAAACATAAAATAAGCTTTAAGAACAAAATAAAACAAAAATAATAATATTTAGGAGTCTAATTAAGCTTAAAAGAGTTCTATAAAAATGGAATTAGGAAAAATAGATTTACAGTTGGGAGCATTTTAAAAAGGCTGTGGTTTCCATAAGGTTGCAACCTTAAACAATCCAATTAAGGCGTGCCTCCAAAGTTTATCATAGCATGTATTTTTGGCGTAAAATATTTTTAAGATTATTTGAAAATATATTTTGATATTTAATTATAAAATTTTAAACTCCAAAAGTGGTTAAAATCAAGTAGATCTGTGAACATATACGAATCTTAAAAATGGACGGTCTAGATAATGTGTTACAAGATGCACTATTTCTGAGACTCAAAATAATTTTTTTTATCATATTCATATAGCTAGATGTCAAGATAATCGATTAGAAGGTTTTTCAACATTAAAATAAGATTTTTCGATAGATTTTTGAGTTGCATATGTAATTCTACATTTTAAGGTTGCAACCTTATATAAACTTTTTTCTTTTAAAAAAAAACTAAAATAAGGAAAAACATAAAAATAGAAAAAACACTCATCAATCTTTGCCAAATACATCTAAATCATGTGAGAAACATTGTATAACATAATTTTATTTTTACAATTTTTAATTTTTTGTTATTTTTTTAAATACCCAGAGTTGTCACACAATTCAAGGATACTCGGTT